TTATACTTCCGGCTTACTCCCAAGAAAGATGACATCAAACCAAAACAAAAACAAAAAACATTACTGACCTTCCGCCTTTTCCTATTCATCCTCAAGGTTAGCCACGCATTATATCAGAAAATAAAAATAAAAGTGGGCTGGTTAAACAGGAAACAACGCGTTTTTACCACCTTTTCAATAAATATAGTCCCAAAGTGCATCTTGATTTAAAATCTAACGTACTAGGATCTCCTTAACTATTTCACTCAAACATCTGAAATGGTAATTTTGCGCTCAACTTCAACATTTCCGCCGTGCATTAACAAAAAGAATCTGTTTTACTACCACTGATGGCTTCCAAATGGGCTGCAAAGCCTTGAATTACCCAATAATGCACCCATTTAGTTAACGTTTGCCGCCAGTATACTCCCAATAAGTCTGTGCGTCTAAACCGAAGAAAGAAACGTCAATTAGTTATCACCACTCCATGCACATTTTCCCCTCATATGAGATTCTCAAACGATGTATATATTTTCTAGGGCTTTTAAGAAATTTGATTAGTGGCAGATGCGTTCATGATATACTCGTAGACTTTCACTTAACGTTGGCGTTAAGTGAAATATTGCTCTGTAATAGGGTAAATTAGTTGCTAATTTTCCCGTGGGATTTTAAGTAATGGCTTCGTTATTGTTTCCTACATCAATTATTCGTGTGAATATCCAAGGTTGGAAGAAAATACATCCTGCCACGATGTCCAACTGCCACGACCACATTGTCCGTAATTTTGAGTGCCCGTCATCTACTCGGCAGCGTGCTTAGCAGGAGCTTCAAAATGAACTCAAAAATTCTTTCGGCATTTCTTGTTCTTACGCTAGTTCTGAGCATTGTGGTACAAAGTGATGCCTTTGCTCCTCCACCAACTGGAAATAAGAAAAATGGTTTCAGAAGACAGGCTGCCGATGTTGCTGGCTGCAAAATGGTAAGATTCTGTTTTTCTTGCAAACAAATCCTCTTTTATTTATAACTTGTAATTCCTAGTCTCTAATTATTCAAAACGCCCACTGAAAATTATGTTTTTGAGCCCAGAAAGAGCGGGTAGGTTTGCTGCGTTTATTAAAGAAAACAGTAACCTTAATTTACAACCACCTTATCATGATGAGCGATCTCTGCTTCTCTGCTTCGTTTTCTATAACAATTACATAATCAGTTTGATCACGTGCTAGGAATGTCATTTGACACGCCTCGCGCTCTTCTCAAAGGTTCAGTTGCTATATGTTACCGTTGGCTAGTTTTTCAAGATTAGATGCTATCAATTTGACGAAACAAGAACATTTAAGGTTTCAACTGACACACAGAAATTGGTATAAGCTGTCGAAAAACATCACCCATAAGTAATAATGGCTGAGGCAGGACCTTCAGAAGAGATCTAATACTAAAGATTTCCAGATAAAACTAAACTGCTTACAGCTTATTTCCTGAAAACATCTACGCCGCCAAAGACGTACATGCCATCTTCTCTGTTAAAAATGTTCCAGCATCAACATTCGACTAAACCTTGAATGATGTAAAACCTAATTTCTGCATATATTTCAATTTTTTCCTTCAAATCTTCTCTCTTAGAGTTTATCTGGAAGAATTGGACTCAAGATTAGTATTTAGCTTAAATTCAGAATGTTCAAATGGTTACTGAAAAAGATTTAAAGGGAACGTTATTCCATTGAAGCTAACCATTTGCTGAAAAGCTCAATTCGTTTCTATATACTTGCTTTGTCAGCCATTGACTAATATATTAATCCATTTATTTGTGACATTTCATGAAAAGCAACAGGCCGTCATCCAGTCATTCTGTGAG